TCTCCGCCGCTCACCTGTTCGCATGCTCCGACTCCTTCTCGTCCATAGCCTTGTCCAGCACCGTGGGCTTCCGCTCGTCCAGCAGCTCCTGCTTGTCGCTCTCCTCCCGCCCCTGCGCCCACTCCTCGTTAGCGATCTTGCGGCACTTCGCGAGGGACTTCTCCACGTGGTTGGTCTTGAGGGTCACCTTCTCGACGCACGGCGCGTGGCGCTCCTTCAGGACCCGCTCCGCCAGTGCTACGGCCTCGTCTACACCCACGCCGCCGTCGCCGCCGTCACCGCCGCCGCCGGCACCACCGTCGTTCCCTGCACCCGCATCCTTCCCGCCAGCACCACCGCCGCCACCGCCATTCCCTGCACCCGCATCCTTCCCGCCAGCACCACCGCCGCCACCGCCATTCCCTGCACCCGCATCCTTCCCGCCAGCATCACCGCCGCCGCCGTCACCGTCGTTCCCTGCTCCGCGAACGGCTTGCTGGGCTTCCGACATCCACCTCCCGGTAGCCGCCTCCGCCTGCCCCGCCCAGCCCTGGGCGATGGCGGTCTCTGTCGCCTTGTCGTCGCCGACCGCCAGCTTCACCGCCAGGTACGCGTCCAAGGCCGCGGTCTTGGCTTTCGACGAGAGCATCTCCACGTCCGCCAGGTGGGGCGGCCTCGGCAAGTCTCGCACCTCCGCGTCGAGATTGTCCATCTGGTCTTCGAACGCCTCCTGCGCCTGTTTTATGTATGCAATGTGCGGTATGTATTCGTGTTTTTATTGGGTCACTCTTTGGTATTACAGCAGTCTTTCGCGTTTGTCGTGCAAAAGAGCAGAGGCAGCAGCAACAGCAATATTCACCACACGGGCGACAACCAAGAATCGTAGAGGAACAGATCGGTCCTCACCATAGCACGTTATGAACTATAATAATCGTTCATATTCCCGGAATCCTATCTGCGGAAGAGATAGATAAGGTGTTGTGTGTTTTCAAAGGCCAAAAGAAAGCGACGACGGCAACGACAACGAGAAACAAGAATCGCCATCATAAACGCTACCGTACGAACTCATTGCAAAACGTATCTCGGACCCCTATCTGTGAAAGAAAGGGATGAATAGTTCGTTGTGTGAATAGTTTTCCAAGACAAAAAGAACGAAGACGACAGCGACAAGTAATCTAGTCTTGCACTCGCCTGTTGCGTGGCTATGGCGAGGCTTTTCTCCAAAAAACTATCCACAACGCGCCAGAGGGCTCCGGTGTGTCCTGCCGTCAGCTCTCCGGTGGGGGGCATCGCCGAATCATCACCCCTGACGACCAACAACGCTTCCATGTCCGCGTGTGAACTGATAATGTCCGGTACAATATCTCCATTCCACCTATTTAGTAGCGCGGGGGCGAAATAACCAAGAGAAAACTGTCAGAACAATCGCAGAATTCGAGGATAACATAACGAATACGGGGGGGTAAAAGCTTGAGCAAGCACCCCGCCAAACGTTATTAGGACAAACAACGAACGCGTGCAACGCAGATTGGATTATTGTCGGTGTGACCCCCCCGGTCGGATTAGTTTGGTTCGAGAGAGGTACAGGTACGGCCGTAGGCTATTTGCATACATAGGTGTACGAAAACTGCCAGCGCCGCTCGCTGAATAAATGGGACACAAAAAAAGAAGCAGGAAGGGACGGGGGGAAGGAAAGGAGATAGGCAACGAGCGACGACTACTACAGCTGTATCGCCGAAGTCGTCCGCGCTATTACAGCCATGCATGAAGAACAACATGTTTTTCTCCGTCACACGCGAACCTTTGGCTCCGGCTGTCGAACACAGCTGTCACGTGCGAGTACTCCGGCGGCGGTGGCGGAAGCTCCGGATCTCCATCCCCCTGTTCTCCTGGCCCCGAACGCTGCTGCTCCTGCTTCTCCTTGAGGAGTGCCCCCAAGTCCTGCGATGCCAGGGGGGAGCACACGAGGGGGGGAGGGAGGGACGGAGCATCACACACACGAATCGTGCCGGGTATTGTTGCACTAACCCGCGCTCGCGAGGAGCACAAGCCAGGCTCACCCGTACCCTGTCTTGCCAGGGGGGTTTCCTGTGTCACAGCAGCAGCAGGGTGACCATTAGCCTAACCTCCGGAGTTGATGGTTAGTACTTCCTCTTGTTGAGGCTCGAGACACCTGCCCCTTGTGTTGTTTTCGTCCCTCACCGCCAAGTGTATCTAACCAGACTCCAAAGATCGGGCGGGGGAGGGAGGGGCTTCGGTAGGGAACTGATCTCCGTGCCATGTACCGCGAGTTGCCTGCCTGCACAAACTGGCTCTGAGGGGAACAGAAAAGAAGATGGGAACGATCCTTTCGGCATTCTTCACCAACGGTGGTCAAGGTTGTAATGTCCCTACAATCTATAGCCAGACACATTACCTAACCCTGGGTCCCAAAGGCGGTTCAATCGTATCCGACCCACATCTTGAGTTTCGTTCCCGTCACAACAAAAGCAGCACTGCCAGCAGGAGCAGCAGCAGCACCACCACCACAGAGCAAGCAGCACATACAGCACAAAGGACGACATCTCTCGCGGCGACGGTGCGCCATACACCCGCGGCCTGGGTTGGGTTTTGCTGCTGAGCTCCAACAGCCCAGCACCACGACAACACCAGAACACCGCGCTCCACATCAAGATCCCCCTCCCCCCGCCCCGCTAGCTGCCCGCCGCGATGAACGGTGGCGGAGAAAATGAGTACACACCGTACCCACTGGCCGGGTCAGAGGCCGTGCAAGAGAGTGGAAGGCACGACGATGGCAACAACACGCGGCGTACCTCGTTCGCTCCGAAAATCTCGGCATCCGACCACAGCCGCACGTTGGCAATGCAGTATTCCTGAGGAGGAACAGGGAGGAGGAACATCACAAACATAATAAGAAGGACGCAAGAGTGTGGAGAAGAAGGGACTACCAGAAGCAGGAGAGGAACAAAGAAGGGGGGGAGGGAACGGGGGGGGGGGGAGAATTCACTGCAAGAAAATACCCGTAAAGGACAGGAACCAAGAAACAAATATGCCACGAACAACAAGACGGCCACCACAATAACAGTCTCGCTGTAGAGCGACAATTTTGTTGCGGTGTCGTCTGTCGGATCCGAGTAAGGGCCGGGCCACCGGTACCCCACACGCACTGCCGTGACTTGAAACGACTTGTACAATACAATAGGGTGTCAACGGAAGGCGGCGGTTGTGCCATGCCATTGCGTGAACGACGAGCACTTAACATACATATGCTACCGCCCTGTAACACACTTGACACCACCCATGTGACGGCACACGCATCCATACACACGCGCGCCCCCAACGCGTCCGCTCTCCATCTCCTGCCACCATGTCTCTCTGGCCTCTCACCCGGTAAAGTCCGCTCAAGACGGCGTGCAAGGCTTGGACAAACCCCGGCCGTCGCAGGGACCGGCCGTCGCTCGCGCCCTCTTGATCTCCGTCCTGCCCCGCAACCCCCCCGGTACCGGAAGAGGAAGAGGAGGCGGACCGAGGGTCCGCCACAAGCTCGGCGCGCTCTACGCACTTGCTGTGCTTGGCCTTCAGATTCTCCTGCCGAGCGCAGGGAAACCCGCGGGAGATGATCATGCCAACCGTGGGGGGTGGGGGTGGGGGTCATGTGTTGTTGCATAACAGGGGGTGGCGGACTATGCCGTATGCAGTTCTCCATTATTTAGTCGGTTCACTCGGAACGCCACAAAATTTTCCTGGTGACATGAACAATCAGGGGTGGGTGAGATGAAATCCAATCGCGTCGAGTCGAATCGCAAGAGAAAGACACGGCAGTTAAAAGTGTCACAGAATCAAACCAATACGCCGTAAACACCATGGGGGACCCAATTTACAACAGGACTCGTCGCATGGATCCCCACCCCGTTCAGACGAAACAAACACCATCCGTGACATCTAGAAACCAAGGGCGCCAACAGCGACAACCACCACGAACAGCAGCACCTATAATAGCTGTACACGACGCTGGTAATGTCAACAGGACATAACACCGTGATGCCAATACAAAAAAAAAGGCACGATAAATACGACGAGCGATGTACCGCACCGCGACTACACATTAGAATGGATGACATTCTAAACAGCTAACATATTTCCCCGACGTCTTGTCTGCCGTGTGGCACGCACCGCTCCGGTTGGCAAGCCTTCGTAGTTGTTTTCTCCAGGCTCCCATTCAGCCCTGTACGCGACTTCGGCGGCTTGCAGCTCTCCCCCTTCTAGCACGTCCAAGAGCGTAGAGAAACGATCGTTGCCAGCAGTCACGGGGACGTTCATCACCTGCAGCGGTAGCAGCATCAGCAACAAACACAGTCTTCAGGAGCAGCAGCAGCACCACCACCACCGCAACCAACACAACCACCAAAAACATTCAGCAGCAACGCAGCAGCAAAAGTAGCAGCAGCAGGAGGAATAGCCGCCAAAACAGTACCGGGGCGGAGGTGCCATGGAGCATTCATTAAATTGAACGGCTCCCGATAGCTCCCCTTTGCACAGCTGCTCAGCCTTGCGTGACCCACATCAGTTTGGGAGAACAAAAAAAGCAAAAGATGGATCGGAAAAACGTCTTGACCTCCCCACGTTCTCTGATCGGCTCTAAGGGTCGGTTCTCCCTACACTTTGAACTGCGTCCGCGCATGGATTCTACGCTTCTAGTACACCTGCCTGCCATCCACAACAGGATAGGTTGGGGTAGTAAATGCTGCTGTCGGTTGGTTGTGTCGGACACGAGTGTCGTGGGAAGCACATACCCGCGTCAGTTTGCGCAGAAACGTTGCCAGAGCGGTGCCGTCCATCGTCTTCCCGCCGAGCTCCTTCGGAGCGCACTCCGGCACGATGAGGTCCACCGCTGTCTTCACACCCCCTCGGTAAGCATCGCTGTAGAGTAGTTACGAGGGGAGAGAGAGAGGGAGAGAGGGGAGAGAGAGAGAGAGAGAGAGAGAGAGAGAGAGAGAGAGAGAGAAAGAGACAAACAGACAGACAGAAATAGAGAGAACGGGGTGGGGGGTGGGAGAGAGGCACTGAAAACTGGAGACACGGCAAGACAGTAGGCCTACGGCGAAGAGCTTCGACTCGAACACACGAAACAGACAACGCGGGGGGGTCGGCACTCGATCACACTCACGACGCCTCGAACCTCACGCCGCCACACTACTCGAACTATCTGCTACGATACCATGATGCAGGACAAACACACGACGATCATGTCGACGTCGCCGTCAGCACCTACTTACCTTAGGTCCGAGTAGCGCATGGGGTCGAGGTCTTGCAGCTTTTCGAGGTCGTTCACCGGGTAGGGCAGTCGAGCCGCATTCGTCCGCACGAAGAACCTGTTGGCGTGTGCGTACGTACGTACGTACGTACGAACGACACACAGCGGACGGTTCGAGAAGTCCGTCGGCAGCTTGTTGGCGGGCAGTTCAGAGCGACACCGTGGACACAACCCGACAGGCACAACGTTTGCGTTCTATAGAAGGGGCCGAGGGAACAAACACCCATGCAAACACCCAAGGAAATCATTCGGGGGAACACACAGCAATTCGAATCACCCACCTCCATAAGCAAGCAGCTACGTCCCCCCATCTCATGACAAAAAGGCGGCCCACGTATACTGACAGAAGTGCTTCATGGGACAGCGGTGGGAACGCGCCGCGCCCCAATCGCCAACAACGAATCATCCGTAGAAACCAAGCCAGACATGCTCCCCCCCCCCACCTCCCCCCCTCCACCCCGCCCCACGACAAAGCCTCACTGACGTGCAGCACGCGTGACTCTAGGCTGAGAAGATACCCCAAACGGACCCCGCAACCAGGAATTCGTCATACTACAGAATGGTCCCAGGAGGCACCGCCAAAGGGGGCACCGCATATGCGACACCCATCATACCTGTCGAAGGCATCTTTGACCGTCCCGACCCCCGAGACTCCAAGCGCGCCATCCAAGTGAGCTGCGGGACTCTGGTCCTGTCCTTCTCCATCCACCATCTGTCACCGCAAGGGTGTCACCGACAGCAGTGGCATTGTCCGTTGTCACACATCCGTTTGTTTGTCCGCCCGCCATTAGTTCGACGGATGGTTAATACCGGCAGCAGCATCAGCGGCAGCAGCAGCAGCAGCAGTGCCCAAACAGAGCAACGACGACAACGGCACAAAAGGGCGTCAAGTATCATGCCGGAACGGGGTAAAAGGGCAACGACAACGACAACGACACGGACACGCGTGTACTACTGTTGAGGCGGAGGTGCAGGGATTGCGTGTGTCCTACTTAACGTGAGCGGTCGCGTGTTGTGTTGTGCTCCCAAGAGCCAGCCCCTAGCAAAAGCCGGCTCACGGAGAGCACGTTTAAGGGACCTCCTGGCAGCGAATCGATCGATTCAGCCGCCAGGTGAACGGTGTTTTAATTGTCTTCTGTTTGGCGAGTCGCAGAAGGGTCGAGCTGTGAGGCTTGAAATGGTTTTGCAACACCAAAATCTCCACGCATACGCCACAAATATAGGCGACACTGCTGCCTCATCAGCGCATCAGGATAGGGTTAGGGTTAAGCATGAGAGCGATGAGGAGGCCCGGCTCCGAGATGGAAGCCAAAAGAAATGATGCATACAACCGGTGCGGAGAAAAAGCTGCCGGTTCGTATCGCGTGCAAGAGGGTCGCAACACCCAAAATGGCCATCAACTCTGCCCCTTCGACAGCAGCAAAATCGTGCTTCCCTTTCCTTTCGAGGCGAACCTGCTGCTATGCCTGGTGCTTCTCTGTACAGGGCTCCCGAATGACTTCGTCACCGCAACTACAAGCCAGAGCTGGCCATGATACACCACAACAACGACAACAAAATACACCACAATATACAACGACAACAGCAGCAGCAGCAGCAGCAGCAGCAGCAGCCAGCATCATCACCAACAACCACGACGAGGATCCCCCTCCTCACCTTCATGGTCGACTGCTGGATGAGCCAGAAGAGGCTAGGGCGATTTATCTCTCCTTTCTCGCCAGCCGGCGTCCCGTCGTCATCTCCCGCCAACAACGACAAATGGACGTCGACGGAGGCTGCAGCGTCCATGGCTCTGTCAGAGAGAGAAAGCATGAGACACCAAACGAAAAACACACACGGCCGGGGGGGCGGCAGCCGCAGAGCCGCAGAAAGCGGCGCAACACAGGGGGGGGGGGGGGGGGGGGGGGGGGGGCC